TTTTAAACTTTGCTCCACTATCTTGACAGGATATTAGTAATTAATGATATTATTGTTAATACTGAAAGTAAAGGTTTTAAAATGTTTGCACTTTACAACACCTACTGCTCTAACAATCCGAAAGATAGTAGCAATAAATATTTTTACACTACTCTGCTTGTGTTTAATTAAACTTCCTGACTAGTTCAACAGCAGTACCAACGTTTGGTCTTACCATTATTTCTACAGAAGACATAAATATTTAGTTAATAAGAAGTACACCCAGGCGGGGTTCTTATGTTCCTGGCGGTTTGTCATGAACTTTATATGAACTACTATTACACGTCCCCACTGGAGTTCGTCATGGCATGCCCCTTGATGATTAGCCTATATGGGTTAAAAAAATCTTTCTAAACTATTTGTAGATGCACGCAGCAGCCCAGGTTTATTGTATGTTTCCTGCGGAGATCTCATACGTAAATTCATCTCAGTGGCCTAAACTCCTTAAGTTCATTGCTTACGGTTCGACTTGACTTTCAAGGACCTTCCAGACGTTTGACTTTTCCTTAATGGCCTTTTAGCTTTAATGAGTTGGGCAGCTTCACGTAGGTTGCATTAACTTCGAAAAATTCTTAACTTCCACCTGTCATTACAAATGTAGTACTCAATGTACTTTACGCCCCATTCTATTTGGATTCTGGGTTGCATTCTTACGGTATTCTTTATTTGTAAGTAACACAAACTTGTGCTTATATTAACTCTTGGATTAGTTTCTCCCAAGTTCAAAAAGGTTCAACAAAATAAGGTATAGAAAAATATTTTATTTTAAAAGCCGGATTTCATGGGCTCAAATACCTTCTTTTCCTCGCTGACTTCTTATAATAACTTTACATATTCGAGATTAATGACCTACCCTCGCCTTCCATTCACTTTCTTTTTAAATTAAAATACAGTTAAGTGGAAAAAAAAATAATTAACTTGCGGAACATAAAAGTAAAGTCTTTATTTGTTAATATTTTTTTAACTCCTTTCGGATTCAGTCCTATAGACCAATGCAATTAATATTTCAAATTTAAGGCCCATACAGCCTATAGACTAGGGCCTTCAGAAACTATAACAGACTACAAAAAAAGTTTAATGATTAACCCCTCTGGTGTATTGGTAAAAGTAGACATACAGTACAAAAAAAATTTCCGGAAACAATCTTGCGTTTCTAAATCTGGCAGCAACTTAGGTTATGTCGCCCGATATAATTATAACTTATTTATTATTTATTGTACTGACTAGCTAAAATTGTTTTGAGTACCATAACCTAAACTGATTGATCTACATTCCCTCAAGTGAGAGGGTCCTTTCCATGAAAAGATACTGCCTTCAAAAGTCGTCTAATTAAAAAGTGAAAAAAGAAATTACCTTGTAAAGACATTTCATTAAAAATTAATCATGTAAGCCTTCACCGACTTTATAGATAATTATAAAAAATTTTCTCGGTGAACTAACTCACTATTATATTATATTATAGCAGTTCTTAAAAAAATGTCATAATACTATCATAGTTGCTATGTTATATTATTTGGTTTTTTAATATAATTAATACTATATTGTTAATATAGACATTAGTACTAATATATTATTGTTACTAATTAATACTATACTAAAATATTAAAACTATTTCTTTACCACTATTATCAATATAATAATTATTTTTCAGTAAAAATTTTGCTTTTAAAGTTCTTAACTAGAATAGTAAAGGGGGCGCTTCGGTCGTCTACATTTGGGTAAGTGAATAAGATGATAATTTAGGATTAGATTGTAATCATGCAATGATTTTAATGCTTCAAAGTAGTTTCATCTAAGCACGTCAAATATGGTTTAGTTCTCATTGACAGTGTAATTAAGAGGGTTTTATATACCAAAAGGCTACCAAGGAGCTCTTGAAAAAAACACTTTTAAAAAGTTATTATGCATGTTGCAGTCAATCTATGATTAAGGTAGAGGAATATGCCCAAGCTGCTGATGCATGACATTACTGGTACTAAAATAGCATTCTAAATGGTAAATTTCTTATTAAGGTGAAGAACACTACTTTACATATAAGGGGTGAAGCGTGCATCGTATTTCTAATTTTTTTTAACTAAATACTCAATATAAGCCTTCCAATTAAGTTTGTTAACAATAATAAATGTACAACGCATGTTGGCTGCATATCAAGTCCAAGGTTGCACGATGAGATTGGGAGCCATAATGAAGAGCAGGGAGAACGATTTCACCAAGATGTCTGTAATATCTAAAGATGCCAGCAGGGAAGATGAAATTTTAAAAAAATTTGTATGTTATTAAAATAGGTATATTTTATAGTAAATTCAAATAAATACAAATATAATATAATATAAATAATGAAGTAAAATAAAGAAGTTTGTATAATAAAATATATAAAATACAAGATATAAAAATTAATTAACGTAAGGAATGCTTTATTGACCAGTTTTCGGCCTGTGTTTACAACTTTACCAAAGGTCAAAAAATGTTTCCGTATCTGTATACGATAAAAATAATTGCACCAAATTAGTTTATATAGAAATTTACTTTGTTTAGTTTGTATATAATAAATAAAGTAGCTTAAATAATTTTGTAAGTAAAAAATTAATTTCTCTTTTCCTGTATTTTTATAATCTGATTTCAAGGTAATTGATTGGTTTACTCACCAATCATATTTCCTGAAAAAATTTAGGGGGTTTGTGTTTATGTTCTATATTATTTTGTTTTTGTAATTCGTGTTTTAAATGTTTTTGTAAACTGTGTTATTTTTGTTAGATGGCGAATGTGCTAGCTAATTACTGCTGGATGGTCAAGCTGGAGACGGAAAATGGAAAGTGAAATCGAGTTTAAGAGGCATAAAAGAGAAGAAGAAAAATTTCACAAGCAAAAAGAATGAACATAGAATGTTAAATACATGAACAAATTGTTTGTTTAATAGTGAAATAATTTTTTTTATCCAATGTAATAAAATTAGTGATTTTTTTTAATCCCTGTTACAATTATTTATTGTAAACCCTATATTTTGCAAAAAACCGTATTTAAAATGGGTAAATGGAAATCATTTGGATTCAGCGCCTGGAAAACATAAAGTTTACCCAAAACAATATATGCAACCAAAAAAAATTAATTAAGACCTGAGTTATGGTTAGTTTGGTAGGCAAATGACTTTAATATGCTTTTTTTAAGAATCCAAATAATATAACTCGAATTGAATTAAGTATACATAAAGGCTTGATTACTTCAATAAACTCGGCCCCCCATTTACTTTCTTATCTCTTTTCTTTTTGGTTGTAATATAAGGTCACGTGGCGTGTAACACAGACTAACGTGGTGCAATCATGCAGTATGTTAGATCCGTAGTCTATCAAAACTGATATTAACACTAAAAATAAAAAATTTTGTCCCTATCTTTATTCGTAAGTCAAGTAGTAAATTTTACTTTAAAGATAATAGCTCCGTGGAACCATAAGGGTAAATGGTATATAGGCTTAAAACAAAACTAAAAAACAATAGTAAACGATTTAATTATACTTTAGTCTGAAAAACTTCTAAGTACATAAAAGTATTAAAATCGCTTATCTGTGTAAGGTGTGGTAAAAGTGATCTGAAGGAGTTTTTTGTAAAAGCAAATAAGAAATACTGGCTAAGTCAATTAGACAGCGGTATGAATAATTAACTCCTGTTAGAAAAAGTGAAAAATTTAGCCCCTTAATGTCACCCATTGCGGAGGTGAATTTATACGGTAAAAATCTTTAAAAAAAAATAAGACTAAGTTAATTTGGTCCTATAAAACTGTCCTTAGATTGCGATATAGCAAGAGTTATTAGAATAATCCTCGAAAAGCTTACAACAGGTTTAATAGTAAAACTGTCATACTAGAATTGAAAGTTGTTGGCGTAGCTCAGGGATTGAAAGCACTGCCACGCACACTAAAGGTCATGGGGTTCGACTGCCTCATGCGCGACTCTTTTTTTGGGTTTTGATGTTTTAGTATCAAAACTCGCCCTCATAAATTCTAACTCTAATAGCTTACCTATATTATTCTACTAATGAAGCAGTAGAATGAGGAGTAAGTTAGTTAATGGTCGCGGCAGGGGTCACATTGGCTTTTTATCCACTGTACTCTCCCTTCAAACTCTTATGAAAATGAGGCTACTCCTGGTAGGTAGCTAAAAGTATTTAAAGTTTTTGACTAGTTAAAAATTAGGGAATATAATTCATAAGTAAAATTAAGAAAGATTTTTTTCTACGTTCTGTCTTCTTGCCTTTGGCTGATCGTCATACGATCCATAAGTTCCCACCTTTCGTAAACAATATTAAAATACATGGTGAAGTTAAATAAGCAATCATTAAAGATCAAAAAAGAGAGTCACGTTGGTGGGATCGAACCCACCACCTTAACTGCGCTTCAGTGCTTTAAAACGCTGAGCTACGACGACAACTCTCGAGCCTGGTATGATGGATGTACTATTTAATCTGTTACATAAGCTAGTAATTTAAAGAAGGATTGACCGGTCACAGAGTAAATAATAGCTCCGCAGATTTTAATTATATCTACCTTTTTAAAATTGATATATGAGGTTGTTTTTAAAAAATAAACACTAATAAAGGAAACACAAAATAAAGTTTTACTTGAAACATAATTCATCTAAACAGATAAACAATGAAAAACTAATAATAAACTAAAATTATATCAAAAAATATTTTTCCAATAGGAAAATAATGGCTAAATTTTGTTGACTATAGAGAATTTTTAAACGAGAAGTCTAAAATAGAATTACAATATTTAAAACCATAAAACAAAGATGTTACAATCCGAGAATGAGGGTTGCCGTCGAAAGTTAGGCGGTTAACGTCAAGAGGGGTTATCCCACTGATAGAGGCTCCAAAAATTTGAAAGTTGTATTGTTAATTAGTACTTAGGAAGCCTATTTCTGCTTTCATTATAACCTAGCTATTTTCTTTATTTTTATTCTGTAACTTGCATGTATATAAGTTAATAGTAATGATACCCCTGTTTTTTAATTCTTTACAAAGTTATTTATTTATGGGTAGTTGATGTACTTTACTATCGGGGATGGCCCTGCGGTATATTCAATATAGTTGCAGCGCTTTGAAGTTTTTGGGAATATGAAAATGGAAGCTAGGAAAATAGGTATAGAAATTATCTATTATTACTATACATACAAGAAGAAATGGAACTAGTAAATAAAAATAGAAAAATAACTTAAAAACTTAGTTATACAAGACCTAGAGCTTATATTAAGACAACAGTACTTTGTTATAAATAATTTAAAAAGCCGGTCTATTAGTTTAGTGGAGACTAACGTTGATAGTTATGAAAAAGTTAGAAGCGCCAAAATAAATATTATTTTAAATCGTTAATTTTCTGCAGCTGGCTGACGTTATAAAAAAAGATCTTGTTTTAAATTAATATAAATACTTTACTTAATAAACACTGTTATTAGAAAATATAGAGAACTCTGATAAGGTTATTCTTACGAATAAGTTGATGTTTGAAGTTTTTTACTAGGTAATTTAAAATTTTCTGTAAAAGACGCTACCGGCTTTAAGTTAATGTGTATTTTTAGGTATTAACTTCATCTACTCCAATGCTTCGACTTGAAAGATATTATATAAGTTACGTATTTAAAAAGAATAGGGCTTTTAAAAATTTTATAAATAAGCCTAGCGAAGCAACGTTAAAAGGTTTACTTAAGTTAGAATTAGAAAGCAATCCAACTATTACTTAGCTAACAAGCTTTAAGTAGCTCTTTGTAAATCATGAGCGAGTAAAATGTAAAAAAAGCAGACTTTTTATTCCACAATAAAAAAAAATTGTTTTGTTTTAAAGTCTAATATTTTACTAATCAAAAAGTGACGTGTTTGAACTAAAGTAATGAAAGTTGATAAGATATTTGGGCTTTTATATACCGCATAACATAGGTGAGTGGGCCTTTATTTTTAAAAGTTTCAGGGTTGCGCAAAAGTTCATGCGAAGAGATGGCCAAATAAACATAACTTGCTAAGTAGCCTTTACCCCCCCTGATAACGAATCCTTAGTCACGTGGACATACGAGAGTTTCGTATAGATCCCTGGGCATAGTTTTTAAGTTAACCACTTCTTCTTGTAGACACTTAACAATTTCCTGGTGAGAAGCGCCCACCACACTCTGCCCGTTAATTTCGGTGATTCTATGACCGGGCTATTATATAAAAATACTAGAAGAAGCTTCACCGTAGAAAAAATAAATAGTGACTTTAAGGCCAGCTTTATGAGAAGCACTTCCTACGTCAACACTTATAATTTCACCGTGAAGCACATCGAAACCCTGCGTGCAGCCTACGTGATACTTCTTATAACAAAACTTATTGAAGACACTCACAAGCTTATGATTCACGGATTCAGATCGACAAATTACCACACTATCTACAGGAGGCATGGGTATCACACAAAACTCTATTTGTGTATCGTTTCTAAGAAAATGCGCTTAGTAGGAGCCAATAAAAAATAGTAGTAGAAACTTAAAAAATGTATACCTAAAACATTTGAAAACTTCTAGTATTCTGTTGAAAGGGAGCCCCACTAAAGACTTATTTTTTTAAAGTGATATTTAAAGACAACAGAGTTAGCAATAACGGAATACCACATTATTAACAAATAAGATTTGATCGCCCACAAACAACTCGCCACTCCGGGCTGCAGCTCCGCCAGGAAATATGTGGGAGATGAAGATACAAGGTAAAAGGGATGTCCTTCCTGTCTGTATATAACAAAGGCAATAGCAGATAGCAATAAAGAAGCGTGTGTGCTTAGCGCACCTCTGTTATCATAAAGCCTAGAGATTCTTCGGCAGACTTTCGAACAAGAACATGTTTTTGTCTTTCGTCGTTAATAAAAAGTTCCAAATCGAAATCACTGTAACGAGAGCCCTTAAAGTTACGATATGTATACTTCTCCTTAAAAATCATTCGTTCATAACTTTCCTTTCTCTCTGGGCTAAGCAACATACTAACCTTTTAAAAGTAAGTAACCAATGTAGTGTTACACAACTAACAATCGATAACTTTTTATTTACAAAAAAAAAAAGAAGAACAAACATTATCATGAGTCAATTCAAGATTTAAATCTCCCTGCCCATCTTCAGTCTCCTTTAAGTTCACTGATTTAACTGAGGTTGTTGTCTCTACACTGTCCTTATTAGATATCTCCATTGGTTGCAGAGTAGATTTACTGTCAAGACTATCCTTAAAAGTAATTAGTTCCTATTAATTTAAAAAAAAGTAAAAAAAAATATATTCTAAACTTTTTTAGAATCTTCGATTATAACGCCTTCCAAAGCAGTATTCATGGTCAATTCCTCAGTAACTTAAATAAAAATTGTTTTAAAGAACATTTTCAGGGATGCTGCTTATTATAAAACCGTTATACCTGCGAGGTTCTAGAGACGAAGAGACTTAAATAAATATTAAACGTCGTAGAGTAATGTTATATTAAGGAAAATAAAAACTTTACACTCAATTTTTTAATCTATAAAAGCTGCCAACTATATATCCAAAATTTAAATGAGAAAGAAAACTATATGCAAACAAAGTTAGACGTTGAGCGTAGCATTTAAGATTATTACAAAAAGACAAGAGCGGAGCGGAATATTAATTTGGAATACTTACAGCCTGTAAAAGCTAATCTAATTATATATTTATACCGATAAAAAAAGCACTAGCATTATAAAATACAGTTACAAATAAAAAAGAAGCAATTTTTAAGAAGAAACGACTTACTTTTAAGTTGCGCATTAGTTTAAAACATTAGTACGATTAAGCTGTTATCCAATTACAGTCATCGTGGATTTATAAATTTACAACTTAGTATCCATAAATGCTTTTTAAGGAAATTATATAATGTTTATTTTTTATTAAACAGTTTCAAAGAAATTATTTAAATGAATAGTTATCGTTAAAGCTTTAAAAAACTCAAATTCCTTGTTTCTAGTTGATACATAATTTAGATGTTAGACGATACGATAGTATTAGATAAGGTTTTTAAAGTCATTATAATCATTCCTTGACGATAGTAAAGTTAGGTAATTGACATACTGTGGTAAGCTTCATACCAAAATTTTTTTAAGACCCTTAACTTAATTAGCATAATAACGTAAAAAATAATTAATGGTTTTAATTACACAAATAGTTGTTTTTCTATAATTGGGTTACTGACTTTTATTATAAAATAGTCTATCCTGTGCCCGATCGGGTCATTAAACACCTAAGTATCGAGCTCTTAACAGGGTGATGGCGTACAATTGTACTACAAAATTTTAATGCGCATTGCACTGACGGCGATAGCGTGCCGACCCATGGTTCGTAAATGATCTCTTTTGGAGGTAATGAAGTTGTGCGTAGGTAGGCTATTCATGAGTGGTGGCAGCATTACTCTGAAAAACAGTTTCTAGCGGCTTAAGCCGAAGAGCTGAATGTAAAAAACAGTTTTGCACAAACCATGACGAGCACGTCATGACTCTTAGTAGCTTAATTTTTCTCAGTTAAAGCGAGAACGCTCTTGCCGGCGAGTTGTAGTCTTAGGAAGCAGACGCGCATGTCATAATTTTAGCCCAAGAACTTATCGAAGGGCAGTCGTATGGAAGTTCTTATGCTCACTGGTAATTTAAATATTAAAACCTACGAACACGTTCATACAAACTGTAACTGCATATCGGAAAAAAGACTTGAAGTCATTTCAAATCCAGGTCGTTGTCCAACTGACATTGCACCATTCATTAGTCTTAAGAGATTACTTTGTTGTTAGTGGGAGTTCAATTGTCCATGACTTTCGCTTTCCCAAGCAACAGGTGCGTAAGCCATTATTGAGCGCACGCACACTTTAAAGTGCGCAGGGTTCTCGTTTTGAATTCACCCACAACGAATACCTCGCCAAGTTTGTCGCTTATCGATGATAATGGCCAAGGTTTTTCGCCTAAGAGCTACATGAAATCTTTATATCTTTGAGGGTAAGAGGCGGAGGGATAAATAGTGCATCTTCTTGATAAATTGCTCTGCATTTATCTACAATAATGGTTACTCTCCGCTTCCGGTACCACTAGGCTAGTGTGTCCAAGTAGAGTTGTAGGTTTTGCCCTAAGGATGTGGGGCTATTAATGACGTGTGAACTGCAGTGCCATCCGCGTAGAATGCGATCAAGGTGCTAGGGTTCGCAGAAAGTGGAATGTCCCGCGTGTACAGCTCGAAGAGCAGGAATGAGAGCGAGAGTTTTGCCAAACACCTAAATATCAGTGACGGTATGACGACAGTTCAGTGCCAATTTTCACTTGAGGGGTGCATCCTCACAAAAGCGACGCAAATATGTCGTAGGGGACTGACGGAGTACCTAATGTGCTTAGTTTACGTAGGAAGCCCTAAAGTCATACGCGTTTTTAAAAGACGAGGAAGACGAAGCACATTTATAAAATTGAAATTACGGGTGGTTTACTCACTAAAGCGTTAAAGTTAGTTGTGGTATCGAGTGATCTCTTCAAAATCCGAGTTGGAGTTCTGGAAGCGCTTCGTGTCTCCTTTAAAACTTTTCCGCCGGCGTAGTAGATTAGCCTTCACGGTTTAAATCCACTGCTGAAAGGGAGATGACGAGGCGATATCTGCTGGAATCAGCAATGTCTTAGTTAGCATTACAACGACGGTGGTCGTTTTCCATAGTGTTTAGAAGGGCCAAGCGGCAGTGCAGAAGTTGCAAAATAGGAAAGATTGTAATCACCGCTGTCAGTAACTTTTTTAGGTTTTTATTAGTATACCGTCGAGGCCTGTTACTTTCCGTCACTAAAGTCCGGAGAGTTGGCAAAATGTTAGCTTTAACAATTCTAATTCCTTTCTTAAAGCTACTTTCGTAGCTGGAAGTAGAACCTAATACTATTGTTCAGTAAGGAATTAATGTGTTAATATATAAAACATTTATCTATTATATGAATGTGGTGAATTTTAGAATAATATCGAATATACTTATTTGCACCATTTTAGGTAGTGATTAATTTAATATAGTTGTGGTTTATTCTTCGACTCAAAGAACACTAATATCTAAAGCAGCTCTACTATTGGCTTGTTTTCAAAGACAATCTCAATTCTTTAACCGCGCGCTGTGGATGACAGTCTTTATCTGTGATAAAAATCCAACAGCAGTGACCATGCCCAACGCGGTTGCTCTAGCGCAGTTACTGGGTTGCAAGTGCGAGAAGGTCATTTTTATTTAATTTTTTTTTCGGTAAACTCTGTGTAGCTGAATAAGACCAATGGTAACACATGCTTAGCCGCTTTTCATTAAAGTTGACTTCTTTGTGCATTCTTGCCAACTGAGGGGCTTAATACCTTGAGCATCAAAGTCGATCTCGACAATTAAATTGTCGGGTCGCTAGAGTTTTCCACCAATAGTGAATTAAAGAAAGTTATCCTCTAATAATGGGTAGGATAGTGCTGGGGTGCCTTGTCATGCATTAGGGGGATTATAGATATTGTGACTTTAATTCACACTAACGCTAGAACTTAATTTAAAGCTCTAGAGTGTACTATCATCAAGGGGGTTTCTAGAGTAGTGTTATTACATCACGCATTTGTAAAGCCTTAGTGTTACATGTATATTTACCATAAGAGGTATTTTTTAAATTAATTTATTAAAAAAAAGAATGAATTTGATTAATTGTAATACCAAATTTAATTAATTTTTCGAAAGGAGTTGTTTCAGTGAAATTAAACTCACACTGCTTCTAGTAGTCAAAGGCTAAAGGAAGCTATTTCAAAATTTAAAAAAAATTATGAACGTTGAATAAAAAAAACCAGATCAACCCGTAGTTCCTCGAAGTTTTAGGTATGAAGCAGACGGCGTTTGTTGCAGGAAGCAAGAAATAGAAAATTTTACTTCCGTAATGAACCTGACATGATTCTCGTTTCCGTAACACAGCTAGAGGAAGGTAACCGTTTCATTTAAGCGTCCAAAAGGTTCCGTTTAAGCGCAGCAAACCACCAACAAATCGGAGTTTTCGACAAAAGCAGATTTCTTATAACACTTTTCAAGCCTTTGCGGAGCTTGATCGATATTCTTCTCATCAGTAAACAACTCTTAATAAACACAAGAAATGCTTTTTTTTCATTATTTGAAAATAACGAAAGTTAATTCACTAAAATTTCAATATTTCGATAACTAAAGGGCGAAATGTCATAAAATTTTACACGTACCATTTGAAAGCCGATACTAACTGAAAATGGTGTGAATCTTTCTAAGAGAGGCAATCTATATATTAATACAAGGGGTTTTCAGGCGAGATGTTATTTAGGCCTGATAAATTTAAATGCTGTAGGCGTGAATTTAGAGCCCTGTTACATTAAGAGGATCGATGTAATTGCTGCTAACAAATATCCCTATAAGTTATACATAAATTTGATGATGATAAGATTTTTGTGGGTCCTCCTTCATTTAAACTGTAAATGCCCCATGTATAATAGCAGCAGGCTTGAAAATGTAATAAAAAGAGGTTTACCGAAATAGCCGACGAAAAAGGTTTAATTGTTATTGCTTTAAAGGATTGAACGCGTCACCCACTCAAAAGGACTTGTGACTTTTAAAATTCTACCGTGCAACACAAAATATTTACTTATACCTATCATTGTCAATATGCTATATGTACTCTCTTCTAATCATAACACCGTCTCCATATAGATGGGATAAGTTAGGCCCAAATCCTTGGGATAGATAGGTAATCAGTAGGCCAACAATTCGGGAATATATAGATAAAAGCATAAAATTTGTGGTGCGAATCATTAATTTAGGCACGGCTTTTGTCCGTATGGAATGAGCTATAAAAGAATCCTATAGTAGGTGCACTTTATTTGAAGAACGCAAAAACCAACAAAATAACCTCACTGGGCCTTATTAGATCTCTGATTGAGAGAAAGTGAAAGTTGAGGGCAAGAATACGACCTCTTGCTTTCCAGCCGATTCAATATTATACAAAAAGATCAACAATTCCGTTAAGAAAGAATTGAAAATCTTGTTTTAACGAGAGTTGGCAGAGTAAATTAGTTTTTCGGGGCAGAGGACAAATTCATATGAAAATTAATAAGGGCCATTAGATCCACCCCTTCATAATGGACGCTAAGCAACGACGTTTCCGAAATAGTAGAGTCATTTAACGTTTCACTGGAAGCTCGCTCACCTAATAAGTTAGAATCCGACGAAAGTGAACATCACCTCAAGTATGTGTTAACAATAGTTAATGCTTACCTTCTAAGAATCTATCATATTTAAAAAGTGTAGGTACCTACTAGTGCGAAATTTAACATTGTTGTGAGATGAAAACCTTGAGTTTTAATGATTTTCTTATTAATTGTTTAAAAACTTAACTTCACAAGCCAATTCTCCCATCTTAAAATTAAGCTAATACTTACCCCTGTCTCCTTCCCTCCATGTTGGAAATTA